ATAAAATAATCATTATATGAAAGCAGTTTTTTAAAATGGTTTTACCTTTAAGTATGCTATGCTTATCTCTGAATTTAAACTTTTCTGAATAGTTCCTTCAATTAGGAAAAAATGGTTGCTTTTCTAAACTGCTTTTCTGAAGAAAACCATCTCTTACTGCTTTTAGAAGTCAGGCTGAGGTCATTAATATAAGTACCTCCAAATCTCAATCATATTAATTTTCATAGTAGCTTAAGGAAGTTCAAGATGGAAAAGACCTATTAAATCTATCCCATTGAAAACAAACACATTGAGGGCTTGTTTCCGTGCATTTAAAATCATCAAAATATTGTTTTCATGAAAATTTAATGTTCAGTTTATCTATTCTGCTTACATTTTAGACATAAATAACTTAATTTTGATAAACTTCAGTATTTCATGGATTATTCCGAAAACAAACCTGAAATGCCTAGAGCTATGATTTTTAAAATATTTTATGGGGAAAAACCCAAAACTATTAACAAAACAGATTTCTTCATAACAGCAAAACACCAAATTGGCGAGACCACCTACTAAGACTAAGTATATTTTACAGTATATCCCAAAAGGCAACAAAAAGCCAATCCAATAGTAAAAGTTATATCTGACATCAAGTATTGCAAGTTTTTATTCAATCCTTCTATTGTCATTAAGTTCTCACATTTCATTGAATGGATTTTTAAGAAAGCAAGTGCTTTTGGGATCATACTGTCCAACATTTGCCACTCAACGAGCACTGAAGAGCCAATAATCTAAAGGAGTAATGTCCAACCTCTGTATTTTCCATAGGCCACACTCCCTCCCCTCCTCACTATTCAAGAATCCGGGAAGTTTGGACTGCCATTCCCTCATGCTAGAAGTGAGCCAACAGTCCAAGGAAAGCACCAAATCCCAAGATGGTTCTGCATCTTGATGACAGCACAGTGCCCAAATTAATAAATTCAGGGTTCCTGAGATGACGATTAAATTGCATTTGAAATATGTGCTCTCTCAAGTCCCCCAGTCTTGGCCCCAGGCACAAGCTAGCAAGAGATACTGGATGTGGACTCTGTAAAACCACCTATGGATATGAACCACTTCAAGTCTCAGGAAAAGGACTGAGAATCCATTCACGTTTGCAGTCCAATGTAAACTGACGCCAACAGTTGCTACCCAGCCTTCCCTGCCATTTTAATAGTTCAATTACAGTTTATTTTGACTTATCTTCACTAAGAAGGGAAGAATTATGATCCAACTTGTTATACAAAAAAATTAGACATTAAGAAGTATGCCAAAAATTTAGTTTCCACAACATGCTTAAGTAAAATGAGCTTCATGCCATCAGAGCACACCACTCATTTGCTGAACATCTCACCTCAAAGTATATTCTCCCTTCAAAAGGCCTAAGGGGTTTTGTTTTTCACTTGAAAATCTTCCTTTAGATTGGTTATTTCAGCATTTTTTAGCCAAGTTATCTCAAGGCAGATTGTGATCACTTAACAATCAGTATTTCATAAAAATCAATGCATTTGTATTTAGTACCTTTCAAAAGAATTTGTAATTACAGATTATTCTATTTTTCAAGTTAAAAAAATCTGAAATCATAAGTGGAAAAGGGGAAAAATGAGTTTGGTATAACAGTTTTAAATATGACAGTATACTTTAGATCAGAATGCTCCTCAAAGAATGCATATTATAAAATCCTGTTGGATTGTGGTTAAAATTAATGCAACGTTCAGTTCATATTGTCTTCTTGCCATCTGTTTTAACCTTTTGTTCTAATAAGAGTCTCCAGTTTATCACATCTTTATGTTCAACTGGATAAAATAGATGTAGACAATAAATAATTTAAGGTCAGACATTTTCTTTCTAGATAAATCCACAGTAATTTGTATTTTTCTTAGGAAATAAATACAGTTAAGTATATTTGAATCACCACCAAGTTTCCCAAGATATCAATGTACTTTATCTAATGAGCACACTGGACAGAACTACAAAGGAATTAACTCAGAACCAAAATGAATCTTATTTTTAAGTGCCCAACAGCTCCCCTTCAAATGACTGAGGCAATAAATGCAAATGCAGTTAGACAAGCTGGATTCTGGCGGTGTTGTGTTTTCTTTTACTTAAATAGAATAGTAAAGTTTTGCTATCTTTAAGTATTGAAATTGTATCTCACGTGAAAATTAAGCCATTTAGACTGAAATTTCAGGAATAATGTAAAAACTCAGTAAGTACAAGCAAAAGTAAGTGCATTGTAGTTGTCGATTTCATATCCTTTCCAAGCTTATTTGTTTTACCACAGCATATAGCAGAAAGAGTCAGAACTTCACTGTGCCTTCTAGTCAAACAGACCAAGGACAGTTAAAAACTTAAGTACATGTATACACAGAAAAAATGATAAACTGATTGGCCAGATGAGGAACAAGAAAAATTAATCACTTCCAGTGCATGGGCAGTACCTTCAAGTAAAAATGCTGCTGGGCTGCACCTGCATACCATTTTTAGGAACCAAACTGGGACCATTCCTTTTCTAACAAAATTTTGTGTTTATTGTATAGCTAAAGTCAGTTACTACCACATATGGCAAAACAAAAATCACTACCTTTACCATTGAGCTGTATACAGTCAACATGGACAGGCAACCCTAAGAAAGATTTTATTAAAAGCAGGATTTGGCAGCCTGTCATCAGTGACAAAAGGAATTCTTCATTAAATCTTTACAGTGTGCCCAAATTCAACATGTCAGTATTTATTTTTTAGGACTCAAGGGCTTCATTCATGGATATTTAAAAAGAGATTAGAAGATTTACTGCAATAAGGACAGCAGATAAATCCGCTGCTATCATGCAGCAGAGCCATCCAAATCAAGAGCTTTATAGGAAGGGTAGCTCACAACTGTGGAATGAAAATCACTAATATTAATTGAAATCTACAATAACTTTCAAATACATACATACCTCTGCTTGCTAGTAAAGATGTAGTGCAACAAACATGCACTGAAAATAGCATGAGGCTGGCAAGGAAAGAATGAACCACTTTTTGCAGATTTGGTATGTTTAATGTACTTCTGAAACATACTCAGATGGTGTATATAGCTAAACAAATATACAGAAGTTAGCCAAAAGGCCTGAATGACACAGCCTTTTCCTTTGAAAAACTGAACAGATTTCTTGAATCTAGTTCAAGTTATATTTAAGACATGTTCCCCTAACAGCTTTACAGTTTAGAATTACTAACTCATACCAGTACTTTCTCAGCCCCCATAAAAGTTGCCATGTACAAGGGCAGAGAAGATGAGACAAAAGTATCTAACATTCGGACACCTCACTAGACACCGACGTAAACTGCATTTTCAACTGAATGCAGTACACCAAAGCAGAGAGCTTAAGTAGTTGCTATATGCAAACACTAGTTTACACCTAGTGAAAAAACAGCCATTTTCCCAAATGTTGAGTTTTAGGAACAATGTGCTAAGTAAAACCAGCTGCAGGTTTTTTTGGAAGAATGAGTGCTGTAATGAGGTACATACATCAAGTAGGGGAAGGAGTATTTCAGACTTTAAACCTAACTCAATATTGCATTACAAACTATAAAGCGTGGCACGTACCTCAAGTCGAGCAAAAAAGGGCAATATTAAAGACAGTCTAGAGAAAAATGCTCAGTAGTTACAGATGTCACAAGCGAGGACCTACACACGTGATACCTCCTGAACTGTATGAAAACAATCTCTATCTTAAGCCATATAACACTGGCAATTTAAATAACAGTGTACTTCCAAAATGCCACCAATGCTGCCATTTTCCTATTACCCGTTTGCTCACCATTCAATTCACCAAGACCATCACTGCTATATTCAGAAGTAACATATGCAGGCTCTCTCTGCTGCTTGCACCCCATGTTTTGAGCTATGCACCTACCATTTCGATATAATTAGGGCACCGTGTTAAATCAGGTCTTAATCATTTTAGTATCACTATTCATGCAGATAAATTTTAGTAATTTCTATTTCTGAAAACGTGAGTGAACTGATAAAAATGGAACACCAATATTTTACAACTATTTTGCACAGGAAAAAAGTAATAGTAACCTAAAATATCCCTACTTTCTTGCCATTACAGGAATAGAACCAATAGGTCTTTTCCATCATCTTCCATGACTGACAAAATCTGAATCATAATAAGCTTCCTAACAGCTTTATCATCAGTTTTATCTTAAGACTCAATCAGCAAATCTAGCCTGAGTTGTGTTGGAAATGGGTGTTTTTCAAATTCATTATTCTGTAAAACATTTATCAAGAATACTTGTGCAATCCTTCTAAATGCATATTACTATCACTATAAGTGAACAATTATTTTAACTGGAAAACATGTATTTGCCTCCTAATTAAACAATTAATCATTGATAACAGACTTGTTTCTATTCAAACCAACCATTGGGGGAAATGTATACTTATAGTGAGGCATTACACAGTGAAAGGCTTTAAACCAGCTTGCACAAATGTCTCCTTCCTTGCAATGGCAAGATACTTTAATGATCAGTAGAACACACAGATGTCAACAATTTTTTTTTCTGTCGAAGTACGGTTTAGGTAAATTCATTCATACTGTTATGAATAAAGCACACATACAGATTCCTTTTCCAAAATTGTGTTTTTTTTCCCCCCAAGTTAAATTTTCCAATAATTTGAGTAACGGATATACTCTATTGATAAGCCTATTATGACTAAGTTTGCAAAGGGAGACTCAGATGCAAGGACACAGTACCCTTGAGAACACTTTGTATAAAATTTGATGCTTTTCAAAAGTCGAAACAAACAAAAGCAGCCGTGTTATAAATTGTTCATAGTATGTACTGCAACATGCAGTTTAGCTAAACAGATTCACTATTAAGAATGGAACTTTCTTGACACATAGTAGAAACTACATAAAAATGAAAATGATGCCACTTATAATTAAGCATAAAATTATTCTCACCCAGTATTAGTAATAACATTCCCAAAATCCTTTCAAGTGATTTTTATATTTTATTGTAATCAGATAACTGCACGTTTTACAGCATAGTCACACATTGTATTTTGCTAGAGTCACAAAAACATTGCCTTACATAATGATTCGCATCATTTCTGCTCTATACTACAAAGCCTATGACTGAATACAAAAGAAGTTTTACAAAAGAAACTGTTTTAAAGACTACAATAACAATAAAACCGTTTCCAGATAACAGCTAAAATTATAAAGGCATATCACCGTATAGTTTTACTGAATTTCTAAACAATAAGGAATGAATTAAGTTTTAGTATCTGCGACGCTTGTTAGGTCCTTCAAAGTTGCCCCCTGGATTTCCTCTACCAAAGCCACCAGGTCCACCACTCACGGCACCTACACCACTCATTGGCGGCTGAGGAGTTTCAGAGCCCGTTCTACTAACCAGAGGTGAACCCATCTGTGATGGACCTCCTTGAGGGAATCTCTCATTATGCTAACGCAAGTCCATTTGGAACATGCCAAATGTGAGTTACAACAAAAACCACAAGTGATGTTGTCATGAAGTTCAGCAGATAGTCCAGCAGAATCAGGATCACACATAGAGGGAAGAAAGGAGCAATTCAATTAGTTATTATGGAAAAAGAGCTGGAAATTAAAGAGTGCTAATGTTATGCTCCAACTTTGTAAAGTAAATTAAAACTTAAGTATTAAGACCAACTCTGGTGCTGAATGAAACTTCATCCTTTCAAGCACATCTGAAGCAATACATATTTTCTATGTAACAGAAGAGACAGCAAACAATTTTATACCTGAGCCCTATTCTGCCTTACATACCAACTACAATGCTTTTCCCTTAAATAATTAGACATAGAAACATTGTCAAACTAGGAAAAAAATACCAGCTTTTGTATTTCTAGAGACTGCAGGTTTATTCTTTTAATAGCAATATAACCTTAAGACTTATATACCCACATACCTGTGGATAAAGTGTATTTCAGTCCATACTACCTGGAGTCAGTCTTTTGTATGGCACTTCAGGAATCTTTAGTTAAGACTTAAAATTCAGTCCAAATAAACTGACACAACTAGTGACAAAATGCATAACTGGACTATGCTTAGTTTAAAAAAAACTTGATATATAGAGCTAAAGGTTAACCTGAAATATCAATATAAGGTGAAAATCCAGTTCATGTTCCACATTTATTTTCCTTAGTTCTGTGCCTAATATTAATAACGGTACATGTGCTTACACAGCTTTATTTGGCTATAGCAATTAAGACCTAAAACAGAAAACATGCATCTGAGCACTTACAGTTCAGTATTTATGCAAGTGTTTAAAAACAGAGCCCCACATGATGAAATTTAAAACATTACCTCAACATAACATAAACCATTAGAAGGACAGATATATGGTACAATCAGATTTTGAAATAACTCACCATTCACCTGTTGAGGACAGTTATGCTTTCAGAAGAAATTCCTTCTGTACGGCAATCTACATTAACTGCTCAGGTATACAGAGTTCAACAAGCACATTCAAGACTAACACTTTATTTATATGCCTGAATCAGAAAATAATTCTTCTGAAAGTCTAACTCCAGTAACAGTAGTAGAGCTCAGCACTTCCAAAGTCTGCTAATTCATATATATATATATTATTTAAACACAGCATTATATCTACATAGATAAAAATTTATGCAACTTAGATCATGGTTATATGTATGTGCATTGTTTAAAATTTGACATTGAATAAGAAAAAAGTTACTTCAACAGCTGCATAAAGATCTATTACTGCCCCAAAGTACCTTAAAATCTGCAGCACTAGTTAAAAATTGTTAAAAAAGTATCTTTAACTCATGCCAGCTTGTTAGCAATGGATATGCATTTCAATGAATAGCTTATCACATACTCCTGATATTTACCACAATTTGACTTTTAGACAAAAAGTCAAGTCCTCTTTCCAACAAGGACCCCTCTCTCCAGCTAACAAGCAAACTGCAGTAATTAACTACCTACAATACAGTATGGGGGGGAAAAAGCTATTTTAAAAATGTTATATTCAAACATAATCTATGTTTCAAAAGACTGCAGTGGAACAAAAAGAAGACTGCTCCAACTTTCCCCTAAAAGACTTAAGAAAAACATCCCATTTAAAAAACGAACACTGCATTTCTGGTCTATAAAGCATATTCTCTATAAAGCATATTCTCCATTTCTCTCAGTGGAAACTGAAATTAAGTGTTACAGTGTTTTAGTAAACAGCCCTCAAAGCATCTCTAAAGTGTCCTTCCAACAACAGCAAAAATGCAATAAGGCTATGCCTTTCTGTAGGGGCTCGTCCCCCAAATTAAAAACCTTGGAAGTCCAAAATGGAAAGGAAAAAAAAAAAAAAAAAAAAAAGGCTTTTAATTTGGGGTTCAGTAGAATCCCAGGAAATGGAA